GTCCCTCAGCTTGCCCACCAGAATTGGGTGGGACACTGTAAGGTATTGGTATTTAGCAATATGGAAGTACTAGTAATATTGCACGAGGCACTGTTGTGTCCTATTCTGGAACACCCTGTACAGTTCTAGTTATACCATGTCATGATTTTGAATAAATGCTTTTTGAAGGACTGTGGGGATGATTAGGGGAATGAAAAGCCAATTGAATGACAGGTAATTGGAGGGGTGTTGCTTAGCTGGCTGACAAAGTGAAGGATGAGAGGAGATGTGGCTTGTATTTTTGAGGATGTAAATCCTTGGAAGAGAGCAGAGCTATTGAAGCTGAAGGCTGTCTTTGGCATAAGACTAAGTTTATCCATGGCCAATTTACAGACACTTTAAACTGGCAATTGGGGGAACGTGTCTAAGCATCTGAGAAGTTCTGGCTGCCTGATATGCATAGTAGAGGGAATGGAGTGGAATAGTTGATTGAAAATATTCTGACAAAATAGTGAACCAGCTTCTTCAAATTTCACTGAGCCAGAGATGTTTCATTAATAGTGAAGCTGCTGAGCATGCATTTCACTATAGCTGCAGGGTCCAAAGAGCTTCTAGCTTGAGAGGAAAATGCAGATCTGGTCTTTGCTGAGTTTGAATCTAAAACCCCTCTTTTTGCCTGAGGGAAGAAAGGGGGAATCATGCCCTTGACTGAAGCACTGCTAGTTGCCCAGCTCTGCCAACTACTAGGCATGGAGTTTAATAAACCTGAGGCTTTGAAACAGTTCCCTTAAGTAATAGAGGACTGGTTTTGACTAAGGATGGCAGTTTTCAAACATTGCTTTCAGTCCTCAGCTTCTTGTGGATCATCCTGCAGCCTTAAACTCCCTAAATGTAAAAGGACTGGAAGGGTCAGTGCAGTGCACAGTCTGTTTATGATGGCTTAATGGACCACACTGTGGTATGCAAGTGACTCAGAAGGTCCTTCCATCCTACCTGTAAAATGGTGACTGGCTTGCAGTTTATTCCATATTCTGTATCCAGCTCAAGCGCTCCAAGTCTAGCAAGTACATGGTTTTAATTTTCTTTTGGGATGGGGCAGCTTGTCTTCTGAGCATCCAGTGTACATTTGGGTCATGTTTTCTAGCTTATCCCCCTAGCCACAAGGGATAGCCACAATAACACATTCCCAATACGCATTCCCAATAAACTTGAAGCTGAGCCTTGTGAAATATTCTGGTCTTGGCAGCTAGGTGAAATATAGATTTGGTAACTGGCAACATTGCAGGACCAGTATGCTTGGCTTGGTAAGGATCTTTCAAAATGCATATCTAGAAAATTCCTGTGAAGGTGAACTGGTGTTTTGTTCCCTGAAGGTTGGTAGTGAGTCTAGAACTACTGGTTTTCCATTGGGTTTCATTTGCAATTTTGTTTGTTTTTTAAACAACAATAAATATTTTCAGGTCCTGTATGGGTGGGCAGTTTCTTCTACCTAATGCAGGGATTCCTTGAAAACCATCTGCTTAATTTATAGTTCCTCTTCTCCGTGGAAAACCCTTTTTAAGTAAGGTGTGAATGTTACAATCATAAATCCTACTTTTAAAGCTTTTTTCCTTTGTCTCGAATAGTGGGCCACGAGACGGATTGAGAAAGGAGTTAAAAAACAGCAGGCACGGATGTTAAAGGACTCTGCATCGAATGGTAAGTTCTGAAAGGAGAAAGGATCAGGGATTTCCTGACAAAAAGGGGAGGCGGAGGATGAAAAAAAAAATCATTTTAAAATAGCATGCACAACTGCTTCTACTGCTTGGGAAGTACAGTGCGTTGGAGTGGGATGGAGAAGCTACCCTGCTGTTGCATATTGGTTTTTGTATCTTGTACCATAGGATGAACAGCCTCTTTAAGTGGTCCTCTTGGTCTAAGAAGCTTAGAAATACTTGGAATCTAAGATGCCCTTGTGTAATAGAGAATTGATGGAATCTTTCCACCCAGTATTGGTTACATTAGGTTAAGGGGGTGGTCTGAGTTCTAAGCAATCTGCCAGTGCATTGATTTGAAACTGGAGTTGAGGACTGATCTAAGAACAAGTCTCAGTGTATGTTTTGGGAATAGGAAGCACAGACAGACTAGCTCAGGTGTAACCTGTTGCATACAGGCTTTTTATTTTATTTTCTGGAGAGTCCAGAATTGCAGTGATGAGATGTTAAACAAAGTTCAAGTCTAAAAGGCCTACATTTCACAAGGCCTACAGAGCACGTTCGTTAGGCTGCTGGAGTACTAACTTTGCATCATTGCTTTTACTGTTTCCCTTGTGTTACTTCAGTCCTTGCCAGATGAACTTCTTGTCCTGGTTTTCTTTCACAGGAGAGCCAAAGAATTGCCCAATACTTCTTCCTTTACTCTAATTTCAAAATCCTCACACTGTGAGTTATCCAGTACATTGCATTTGTCATGGCACATTGAAGTAGGCAATGTTGGGCTGTTAAAATGCTGTGGACAGCTTCATGGAAGACCTCAACATAGAAGCTGCCTGAACTCAATGAAGAAATCTGAGGAAGGCAAACATGCTATCGAGTAGTTACAAACTCCTTCTTATCCATCCTCTCCATATATTGGCTGTCTACATGATCAAATTGGTAATGAAATGATCAATTTAATCCCACCCCAGTGTTGCCTTGTGTCAAGTATATCCAGCTATACTACATAAATCATCTCTCAGTATAGCTGAAAATAGGATCTTTTTTGCAGGCTTTGCTATCTCTGGTTGAATGAACGCATTGCTTTTTAGGTCTGACAAAATAGCTCTCGTGTGGATTTTTTCTAGTTGGGGCACAATGTGACACCCTCTCCAGACTTCCCTATAGCTACTGCTACTAAGCCTTTCCTTTTCAAAGGAGCACCAGAGTTCATGGTGGAATTCTGGACTTCTGGAAATGCAAGATGTCCTTTATATTAGCCATAAAGCTCTTTGGCAGCAGCATGCTTACCCATCATTCAGAAGTAGTGACTGATTAATAGAGATGCTATATAGCTATAAGCTCCTCAGTTTAAGACCATTCGAAATACTCATTGATTTAAAGATTTAAATTTTGATCATTAACTTTAGCCAAGTAAGAAGGGGAGCGTTTAATAAATGGTTCAAATCTACCAGTATATCTTATAGCTGGGTTTTTCCCTCCCTCCCTCCCTTTTTTTTTTAGAAGCCATTATTAACACTGTCGCCCTTACTGAATCTCTTGCAAATACTCTGATGCAACTAGATATTTTCCTTCTTCACAGAAGTGTGATGTGCTCACAGTTGTATACTGAGTCACTGGAAGAGCTCAGGCTGTAGAACATTCTAGTCTATTTTCACAGTAGCATACTTGACACACTTCCTGTGTTTGCAAACGTGGAGATGCATAGATTCATTTTAGATGAGAACTGGGCAAGGGGTTAAGAGGAGTAAAGCATGTTGCAAAATAAACTGAATTTTTATAGGTAAAGGGTGATCCTGTCCCAAATATGTACTTGACTGTTATGTGCAAAATGAGATGCTTTATTTGCAATGATAGTTCAAATTGATGGCACAAGAGGACTTGAATTGTGTTAGTGCAGCAAGAGCTCATGATTGTGCCTCATGTTGGTTCAAAACTCATAACAAAACACCCCACTCAAAACACCTTTTTACTTCCAAGAGGAAAAAGAATGCACCTTCCCCAAGCAATAGGAGCCTTTATAAAAATACAGTTGTGTGTGGTTCTTTTAAATGCCTCTCCACAAGAATCTTCTCTCCAAGAAGATCTGCTTTTTTTTTTGTTTCAAGGAACAAATATGGGTGGAGGAGATTTACTGTATGAAGGCTAAAATCTTAGGAGGGGAGTTTTTTAATGACTCTTAAAGGCCACATACTCACTCTGTAGATGGTATTCTTGGGTGCTCCTAGAGTCATCCAAATGCTTGGGAGAGAAGGCAAGCTGATGAGACATTTGACATCAAATCACTAGGAACAGATTAGCTGGTGCATATCTAGCATGTTCTCTCATTCCTTATTCTTCCACTGCTTTTAGCTATTTGTACCTCCATGGAGGAAGTCTGGAACAGAGGGTTAAGTGACTAACCCCAGATTACATGTCACATGTAACTGAACTTGAATTTCCTAGATTTTGGTTCACTAGTTTTAACAAATGACTGGGTCACTCCAGTCAGCTTGTAGAGCTATATTTGCAGCTTCTGTCAAAATAGAGACTTAATCTGTATTTCATCTCTTGGGGGTTTGCCCCATATCTTTGAAAGGGTCAGGGAACAATTGGTGCCATCGCTGACTTGGTGTGCTGCAATAAAAGCATTGCCCAATGGATATTGCTGTTTTTAATGCAATTCAGAACAACTCTTCAGGTTCATCTTGCATCTGTGTTGCATTACATGGGCAAAGTTCAGATGTTGCAGTTCAATTTTTATGGCCCTCTTGTGAAATAAAAACATCTGGGGATATGTCCTATACGGGACCTGTTGGTACAACTGCTTTCAGGACTCTTTCCTCTTTTTTAATATCCAAATAAAGTTGTGACTTGTCATATCTATATAGCATTAACCCTCTGTGGCAAGGGGGGTGCAACTGAACGGGTAGCAAATAGCGTGCAGGTATAAACCAAGACAAACTGTTCTAAGTCCCTTTTCAGGAGCTGTGGCTGAAACAAACACCTCTGGCAGCATGGAACAAAAATATGCAGGATGAGTGCCAGGTATAGGAAAGACTGCAATGGAGTATTTAGAGCTTAGGGAACAAGAATTTATGGGCCAAACTCCACTTGTAGGGCTGTGTAAAATTTCGCCAAGTGTTTTGTTTCAAAGCTGTTTCAATCTCGAAACAGCAAAATTGAAATGAAACAAAAAGCATAGAAACAGCTTCAAAATGAAATGAGGGCACTCAAAACTTTTTGAAAGTTTCAAAATGTTTTAAGTTTTGAAGCAGCCTGGTGATGGGAGGCAGAGGAGAGCCAGAGCTGCGCTCCGAGGGGCTTTGCAGCCCCATGTAGCTCAGCCCAGCAGGGAGCACAGCCCCAGCTCTCCCCGCCTTCTGCTGCTAGGGCTGGTGGAGACGATCAGAGCCCAATGCCGGCTCTGTCTTCTGCCTCCCACTGCCAGGCTGCACTCTGATTGGCTCCACCAGCCCCATGGAGCTCACCTCGGCAGCAGGAGGTGGAGCACAGCACCAGCTGTGGGAGGCGGGGAGAGAAGTGCACTGGCACTGGAGAGTCCTCCAACACTGGAGAAAATTGCTGCTGATGCCTGTCCCAGGAAGCAGTGGCAGCCTCCCCATATCCAGCGCACAGATCTGGGGGCCTCGCACCCCCGGGAGGAGTCCAGCACAGACTGGCAGGCCTCTTGAGGGTTGTGGACCCTTGGATCTGCACCCCGGATGAGAGGAAGCTCAGGCTGCGGCAGCAGCAATCTTGTCCGGTGCTGGGCGCAGCTTGTGCCCAGCGCCGGTCCCAGGTGAGAGAGGCAGCCTGAGCTTCCTCTCATCTGGGGTGCAGATCCAGGGGCTGTGGGGCTGTGCTGGATTCCTTCCTGGGGTGCAGGCCCTTGGATCTGCGCTGGATGACAGGAGGCTGCGGCTGCTGCCTGTGGCCAGCGACAGCATCTGTCTTCCCTGGCCCTGGGTGCAGGCTGAGCCCAGTGCCGGTCCCAGGCAGCAGAGGCAGCCTCCTGTCATCCGGCACAGATCTGAGGGCCTGCACCCCTGGGTATGAGCCCCCAGATCTGCGTCCTGGATGACAGGAGGCTGCTGCTGCTGGCAAATTTTGCTTTCGAGAATTTGAGGTGCAGTTTCCCAGAAACCACTGCACCTGTCTTCTTGAAGGTTGGCAGGTTTCATGCCCTCAGAAGGGGCATCCCTGCAATTTGCATCCGAATCAGGCAACAAATGACAATGTTTTAGGCATTTTCATGATTCTCCACTATAGCATATGGGTGAAACGTCAAAACAGTTGTGATTAAATGAGACAGTGCTTTGAAACTAAATGAAATACTGTTTCTTTGAAACAGCAAAATGCATGTCAAAATGAAATGATGCTGTTTCGCAGAGCCCTATTCTCTTGTACTTCTGGCAGGGTAAAGTCTCCTCAGTAGGGTTGCAATGCATTGTGAAAAAGGTCTAAAGGGTCCATTATTCATGTGAGAGTGAGACCTTGTCCTGTGCTTCAAGTGGAATGCTTCTAGCATCTTGTTTAAATGCCCTGTTTTCTATGAAAAAGTGGAACGTGTTTATCCTTACAGCAGTTTATCTGGAAGATAAGTATTCCCCTGAATTCACGTGTGTGTGTGGTATAACAGAGAGAGATCAGGTAGCTGGAGCATGGCTATGGCATGGAGGCATATACCACATTTAATACTTACATGGGTATAGAAATGCTTAGGAAAAGTCCAGACAGCCACAGGAGCAAAGCAAGTGACTTTATAGCTGCGTATATTTCTCCTTCCTATATTCAAGCAGAAAGGACAGAGTTGCTGAACTATCTGTGGTAGGCATAATTTATGCAGGGCCTGCCCAGACTGATCTGTCTTTTGCTCTTCTTCCTTTCTAGCAGCTTCAAGCATTTTAAATGCCCAGGAAGTTCTAATGTGGAGGTTGCAGCCTCATGTTTAATACGTACTGGTGGGAACCTTTTCCTGAATGAATTAGTTTAATTCTCTTTTGAGCCTGATTAAATTGTCAGCCTCCACAACATCTTGCTGCAAGGAATTTCACAAGCTAATTGCAAGCTTTCTTTTGTTAGTTTCAGACCTGTTCCAAATTTTCTTATCCACTTTTTTGTACAATGAGATGAAAAAATAAATAGGGATTCACTATTTCCCCATGTCATTCATTATTTTATTGCCCTGTCATACCCCCCTCAATTACCTTGTGACCATTTACTTGGTAGAAAGGGGTATGGCTGTCCAAATAACTCATAGTGATTGATTTTTGTGGTAAACTGGAAGATGCCTGCTGAATGGTTTACACTGGGCAGGGAAGGAGACATAGTCTGCTTTATAGCAGGGGATTGCAACTTATGGCCTGCAATCCATAGAGCCATTGGATTTGGCCCGCAAAACCAGAGGACTTCAGTGATATTTTGGCAGTTGTTAGGGATGAGGGGGGGAGGGGAGAAGGAGGAGGTCGCTCATCTGGCCAGGCTTTAAGGAGATAGAAACTACTGTGGTGGCAGTAGCCTAGTGCCAACTTGTCTCAGACCCAAGTTGGGTCATTCCAGTCTGCTGCTAGAAAATGTTGCCAACCACTGCTCTATAGCATGCACAAATGTTCTATGACTGGTTTCTATGGTTGTATAACACGCCTGTCTCTGTTATTTCGAGTTCACTGTTTGAATGGTTCAGTAATCTACAGAGCAACTTCCTCTGACTAGAGGATTTTTTTTGGTTATCTGGAGTAATTTCCTCATAGTTTCCCTTTTGTTCTTTAAGGGATCATACAGCGAGTTGACACCACCATGGAGAAGGAGATCGCAAGCCTGCACAGAGCAGACTTTGAACTCTCCGACATCTTCTATTTCTGCAGGAAAGGGTTTGAGGCCATTGTGGAAGATGAAGTCACCCAAAGGTTTTCTTCAGAGGAGCTGGTCTCCTGGAATCTCCTCACAAGGACCAATATCAACTTCCAGTACATCAGCCTGCGGCTGACCATAGTTTGGGTCATTGGGGTCCTGGTGCGGTACTGTCTCCTACTGCCTCTTCGGTGAGCCCAATGCTGGGAGACTCATTCATATGAAACAAATCAGTCTAAAGCTTCTGAACCAAGTCATGCAGGGTATGATGACAGACATGCAAGCTGAACTACTTAATTTTTTTGCGCAGTGACTGCCCTAGGGATGTCTGGTACTGGTTTTTTTGTAAACCTTCTTAAATCCAAAACTGTTGCAGTAGCTCAAACTATTCATCTTACATTCCAGCATTTTAATGCTGTACCGTTCTCTTTGAATGGTTCATGCCATCAATCATTTTAAGATGATCTCCAACAGGGGTCCTTGGGTTGCAAATACTTACTCTCCTCTTCTTTTGTTTAGTCTTACATTGGCCACCATTGGGATTCACTCAATGATTGTGGGAACAACGTTGGTAGGCTGTCTGCCAAATGGAAGGTAGGTGTGTGCCTTTCCTCTAACTGCTGTTTTGGGGTGTGTTATGAGGCTTGTCCCTGCAACAGCAAGCATTGCTTTCGGTAAGAAGGATGAAAAGCTAATGGTGGGGCTCTTGCAGGCCACGGAACATAACCCAGTAACTGTGGTTGAACCTGAGCATTTTGCTAGTATGTTCTTCCAAACTGGAACATGCTTGATTCAGAGCTAGCCTTGGGATTTGGGGAAATGGAAAGGTGACTTCCCCCTTTCCTGGAACTTGGTTGTGTTGAATGTGAGACATAGAAGCAATCAAGTGTAAAGACTGGGAGGTCTGGGAAGAGTTGAGACCAGAACATGGGTGGGTCAAGACTATATAGCTGAGGACCTCTGGCTCAAAGCTGAGTCAGCAAGATGGGATGCCTTAAAGGATGGAGGGGAACCAGCCCTATATGGTCACCATTTTGAAATCCATAGGAAGGAGCTGGAAGTTGTAATAAGGGAAGGGCAGTTCTGCTCCACTTCCACTGTGCTTGGAGGGGGAAAACTGGGTTGGCAGTGCTCTGTGGAGGTACTTGGATGAGCTGCTCTGATGGACCTGGTAGAAATGCAAAAGGGAAACTAGTTATCCTAGTTCCTTGATGATAGAATGTGGTTCTGGAGAAGAGTGCTGGTACAGGACTATGACTGCTGGGAATAGATTGTAAGCGGCAGCCTGAAGATATGCAAAGTGTGGGGAAGAGAGGACAAGCATGGGGCATAGACAAATGAAGAGAATAAGCCCCCTCCATCCCCCTTTAAAAAAAAAAAAAAAAAAGCAGGCCTCAAGATGGTAAGAGGAGAGACTGACAGAGGATGGCTGATAGAAGAGCAAGGGTGTGAAGACAAATATGGGAAGCAATATGGGAAAGTGAGGTAGGAGAAGGGAACAGAGAAGATGGTGTGAGAAAATAATTGGTACCTGGCAGAAAGGGGGGACTTCAAATGTAAACTTATTCTGAAGATTAAATAAGGAAAAAACTTTTAGACTTTTTCCCTTTCCTTCTGCAGGGCCTTTATGTCTCTTGGGATTGGGGGAGGAGGCGGCTGTTTGTGTAGCATAAGCAGAGCTAGTCACAAGGCCCAAATCATCACAACTGTACTAACACCTTAAATGGTGGGTTTAGCCTTTGTTGCACAGGCCAGCTTGGATCATCTAGTGCATTGGCACCCAAAGTTCTGGCCCTGCCGGTCCAGAGTTGGCCCTGTCCTGGTTGCACACTAGTAAGATTTGGCATTCAGGGCCATGTTATCTGGCTTGTGGGGCTCCCCATGGGTCTGGAAATAATGGCAGCCAGGAGGAAAAATGTAATGATGCTGCTTCAGCCCTTCTGCCAAACTTTTGGATTTTTGGGGGGCCCCATAGGCCATATGACACTTCTCCACAGTCTGAGGTTTGAGCAGTGCAGATCTAGTGTGTTTGTCCTTCTTGGTGATGATGTGGAAGGAAGAGCAGTGATGACAGAGAAAACAGCGCGTCTATCTATAAAGTGAGCATGCTGCTTAGGGAAATGACTAGAGAGAACATGGAACTCCATGCCATTTGTGGCATGGTATTGCATTTTACATTCCTTTCCCCCTTGTTCCCATCCATTGCCCAAAAGAGCCTGGAATGTTTCAGCTATGTCTGTTGACTTTCCAAGAGCATGTGGAGTGCCATCCAGTCTCAATCACACTGCCCTTGTGCTATGGGCTTTATATAGATAAAATATAAGACTCCCTACTTTAGCTTCTCCTCGAAATAGACAAGACCAAAGATGAAAGGGAACAGAGATGGTTTGCCCAAGGTATCGCAGCAGGCTGGTATTACAGGTGGAAGTGTGGGGTCGGGGGGAGAACCCATGTCTGTATTGTCTAGTCACCAGGGACACTACTATGGCAATAGATTCTGGATGTGGGTTGACAAAAATTGTTTCTGTTGTTGGTACCTTCCAAGACTTTAGAACTTTAAATATATATGTATGTCTCTTTCAGCATTAAAGACTGGTTGAGTGAACTAGTCCACCTAACATGTTCCCGGATCCTTGTCAGAGCTCTTTCTGGTACTATTCATTACCATAACAAGTAAGTTGAGCCAGTGTTACAGTATTGTAAGTGAACAGATACCTAGTTACTCCTATAGGCATGGAATTAGCAAAAGTAAAACAGTTCCGTAGAGAAGACAAAAGGAGGACATTTTTTAATGGAAGACATATAATAACTGAGTGGTAGAGGGATTTTCTCAGTATTAACTTACTAGCTGATAGTATGACAGCAAAATCTTGCCATGGGCTGTTCTTCAAGCATGATTCAAATCTTTGCATGTTTCTTTATGTAGTTTCCTTAACCATAGAGTAAGTATGTAGTCTCTCTTTGTCATAGAAGCTTGGAAAACAACCCAGACCATATCCAGGAATGCAGATACCTTGGTGTAAACTGCTGTTGTTGTTACTGCATGGAAAAATGAACCTCAGCAGAATAGCTAAAAGTTTGAAACACTGACTAGAATTGATAAAATGCTTGTTAAACCTTTGACTGCAGTTGGCATCAGACTAGCCCGTGCTTGTTAGTAACCTGGAAATCTAGTGTTTAAATAGTTACAATAATGTGCTTCAGACCACTAAGTAAATGATGCTTCTTATGATTACAGGGAAAACAAACCCCAGAAGGGTGGTATCTGTGTTGCCAATCACACATCTCCAATAGATGTTATCATCCTGACCAATGATGGATGCTATGCAATGGTATGATTATATAATTGGTACTTGTGTACACAAGAGAGATCAGGATAGACAACCCAGCTTTCTACTTCTTGACCTAAACTGGAGTGTTTCCCAGAATCAAGGCATGTAGTTAGGCAGCAGTGGTAAGAGTATGTAGCTCATCCCAACCTCAGTTATTAGAGCTGCTTCTGAAAATAGGTTTGTTCCTACCCTGTGAAAGGATACCCAGAATAGCAGCAATAATTGATACTCCTTTGTAGTGGCCTGTTCCTCATACAGTTTAAGATAGAATACTTCAGTGTGACTACAGTCAGTTCTGGAGAAGAGGTACAGCATAAAAATCAACTTAGTAGCTAGGGCACCTGGTTTATAAAAATGCCTATTAGAAAAGATCATGCATTTTAAGTCTGTGGGGAATCATTTTTACATTACATATAGCAATAGTCCCAGTGTCTTAATTACAAATAATTATTAAACTACTACATTTCTAAAATCTATGCAAATAGCTGGTAGAGCTATGAACCATGCTGGAGTTAGTTATGTGGCCTTGATATCACATGTAGATGTGCCTAGTAAGAAGGACATATGCATAAACATAGAAGGGTATTAATCTTAGTTACATACCTGCCCTAATGTGCATGAAACAGCATAGTCCAAAATGATGTACAGGCAGTCCTCAGACTTACAACACAACTGGTTCCTGAAAGCCATGTCTTAAGTTGAAATGTTGTAACTTGGAACTGATTTTTCCTATAGGAAACAATGTTTATAAATGGGGGATTGGTTCCTGAACCAAGGCCTGATACCCTATTTTCACCAAAAATAATCCAGGATTTTGTACTCAATTATAGATGAGTAATATAGCTACTTTAATGTATTTATATTGTAAATCATATTGATTTGGAAGGACTTACTTGGGGTTACTTTGCTGGACTTTGAAGGGCTCTTGGCTGGAGCCTTCTCAATGTTGTCCACATCCCTCCTGAAGTGGGGTGCACAGAACTGGACACAGTATGCTGTAGAATGTTTGAACACATCCAGTACCATATGTTAAGGAAGCTAAGAGAACACTTTCTTAAACCTTTTAGGTGCATTGTAAAATTCTGACCTGGCTGGGGCTCTCAAATATCCATGAAATGGATGAACCTTCATTTGCGATGGTGTGTGTGTATGTAGTAACCTGTCTTGTCTGGGTCTTCAGGTTGGACAAACTCATGGTGGGCTAATGGGAGTTATTCAGAGAGCGACTGTAAAGGCCTGTCCCCATGTCTGGTTTGAACGCTCAGAAGTGAAAGACCGCCATCTAGTGATGAAAAGGTAAAAAAATGCCCATTCCTTCAGCTGGCTAGGGAACCCATTACAGTATACTATGGTTAATTCTTAACTTTTAGTCACTGGTTGTGAAATACCTACCACAAGAGACGCTTCTTGTTCTATTTTAATTTTTTTTACAAAATTGTGTGTAAATAATTTAGCTGCTTGTTACTAGAGCTGGGCAAAAAACATTTTTTGGAAGAAAATTAGTTTGGAGGAAAAAATCTTGCAATTTCTTGTCAACAAACTGTAGCCCTTGGTGCTATGCGTTGGCTTATTATTTTCTGTGGGCTGGAAGGCAATGGTTTGCATACATGTTTTTGCAGGGAGGGTGGAACATTTTAATAAGGGATTGTTTAAATTGTACTTTCTTTCTCTCTCTACAGACTGAAAGAACATGTAGCAGATAAAAACAAATTGCCCATCCTGATCTTCCCAGAAGGTAAGAAACTGTACTTCTCTTTCCTTCCACTGAGCTTTCCAAGGCTCATGTCCCTCTTCTCCTGTGATGCCTGTTGCACATTGCTAATACAAAGCAATGGGCTTTGCTAGGAGTTGCATTTATAAGAGGAGCGGCTAGAGGTTCTGTGCTGCTGAAGGAGATGTCACCTTTTTTTTGCTGCCAGTATGCCTGTCTAGTGGCAAAAAAAAACTTTTGGGTGGCAAGGCAGGGGTGGGAGAAGGTGGCATCTCCCTTAGCAGCAGTATTCAGGCTCCTCCTCCTGCACTGTGCCCTACCACTGCTTCTCTGCCCTTCCTGCTTCAGGTAAGGTGCAGGGGGGAGTGGAGAACATGGGTTAAGCACCCCCTGTAGCTGTATTTTGGCACCTGCCCCCTCCCATTCCTCAACCTTAAGCAGTGTCTGGGGCTTGTGCCTCACTCACCCACCTGTAGATGCATTAAGTTAGGTTACTGGGTTTGTGCATAGCTGGGTTGAGCACTATGGCTTGGGGTGGGGTGAGGGGAGGAGCTGCACTGAACCTGTCACCTTCTCTCTCCACCCCTACAATCCTTTACAAGTCTAATGTTTTAGCAGGGCAGAGCAAGGCTCTTAGGCCAACAGTCCTGAACCCCAGTGCCAGACCGTGACAGAACTGGGTGGGGGACAAGGGGGGAACCTTGTTCTCTGTAGAAGAGTTTTCATTGCTTGGTGACCAGGTGTGACCTTGTTGGCTGACTTGCTTGGGCTACATTGTGTTGCCTTCAACTTCTTGACAGTTAATGTTTGTTCTTTTTTGGCTAGGCACCTGTATAAATAACACATCAGTAATGATGTTTAAGAAAGGGAGCTTTGAAATAGGAGGAACAATCTATCCAGTTGCAATCAAGGTATGGTTCAAAAGCATTGTTCTTCCAGACACTGCTTCTTAATGGTAGAAAGACTTACTCTTATGGCTGTTCAGTGTGGGGTATGGAGTTGGTTCTGTAGTCTATAGAGATGCATAAAAACCTTACAAGTGGCCATTTGGTGTACTTGACCATCAGAAATGAATGTCTGAATAAACACCAGAAGTGAAAATAATCTGGTGTTTAGAGCAGGGCCTATTGGGGTTTGCGTCTTGCATTGGAGGCTGGTGAGATTTGCATATTGAATGTTATCAGGCTAGTTCCTGTAGCAAGTATTGGTTGTTCACATTTAAAAAAAACAACAAAAAATTAAGAAAACCGCTACTGCTTTGGCTCCAGCCAGTTTGAAATGGCAAGCATGCCATTGCTTCAGTTGCAAGGCTGTGGCTCCATATACCTGGGATATAGCTATATTTGATTTGTCTGCTCAGTTATGTAAGAGAAACTGGCTTAAACTCTCGCCTTTTGCCCCTCTACAGTATGACCCCCAGTTTGGCGACGCGTTCTGGAACAGCAGTAAATACAATGCAGTGAGCTACCTCTTGCGACTAATGACCAGTTGGGCTATTGTGTGTAATGTGTGGTACCTGCCGCCGATGGTCAGAGAGGTATTTTAACGTGCAATTGCTTGACAGTCTGGATACTTCCTTTGATATGAGTTAGTGAAACAGACTTCATGTACAAATTGGTTTTAAATGGCATTTCTAGTAATGCTGCCTTAGTAGAATTGTTTAAATATATAGAACTTAAACTTGAAGCATTGTGAGGTAGATTAGTCACTGGGAAGGGAAACTGAGACTGTAGCCAACAATGTTTTGAATAATTGCACTGGTATATTAATAATTGACACTAAGCAGTATCATAACTATAGTTTCCCTCCATCCTATGTGGGAGGGGAACTTTCCTTCCAATGTGTCACTTCGGAATGAAAACTAAACATGAACTGAACTTGTTTAAGATGTGAAAAATGGAAGATTATGTTCTTGGCATGATGAAGAGTTCATGGTCACAAATGCACTGCAATCTTTAGAAAGAAAGGATAAAACTGTTCATTCAGATCTACTCCTTTCCAATTCTTGCCAAAAAGAAACAGTTCTCTGAAAGAGCTGTTTAGTAACAGAATCTATCATGTGACTTGTAATGCACCATCTTCTAAAGCAATCCATAGTTAAGTGACTCTTGTGTGTATCCTTTGCAGGAAGGAGAAGGTGCCGTCCAGTTTGCCAACAGAGTGAAATCGGCCATTGCCCTCCAAGGAGGATTGACTGAACTTGCCTGGTAAGAGGCTTAAGTTCTTCTTGGGCTTCGTGTGCTACAGTCTTTGCTCCTAAAGAACAAAGTTGTAAAGCTAGGGGATGCACATTACAATGGCAGATATCAAAATTGCAGAAAAAAATGTAATTTATTTGACAATGTGTGGGTATCATCTAAAAGTTTTAACTGTTTTCCATTGGAAAGTAGTCTCATGTTTCATGAAATGAAATCCCTTGTCCAAGCTGATGCAACAGAGTTGAGAATGAAATCTTAAGTCCCAATCTACAGCCTCTTGCAGAATGAACTGCCTCTAGGAACTTCTAAAGTAAGAAAAGCATCTGTAGATTATGCTAAATAGGATTTTTTTAGAACAAAGCCTTGGTGAGAAGGCCTTATCTTGTGCCTTGTGGAATGTGACAATAAAGGAACAAGGGTCTAATTATATATCCTCTCACAAGCATCTCTTTCCATATGATATTTCATATCTACAGGAATATCACCCCAGATACGTAAGGTTCTTATGAATACTGCAAATGCTAGCAGTCTAAGTATGTCTTTTGTTTCACTAGTGCTAAGGCCAGATTTTTTGGGTTGCATGTTTGGTGCTGATTTGTATAACTATTCTCCCTCAGGGAGGAGTGGGACGGGGAAGCTATTTACAGTTATCCCAGATAAGGGAGTCATGAACAGCCTTTTGCAGGATGAAACTGTGTCATCCAGAAGAAGATATTGGCACGAACAAGACTTTTAAATGGGAAACCAAAATATTCTTAGATGTTTTTTTGCCTTCTAATGCCAGAGTTAACTCTGAGTGCATCTTTTCTTTGTGTGTATGCTCTAGGGATGGAGGTTTGAAAAGGGCCAAAGTCAAAGAGACTTTCAAGGAGGAGCAGCAGAAAAACTACAGCAAGATGATAGTAGGAAATGGATCATCTGGGAATCTGTCTTCAGGAACTGAACCTGACTGAATGCCAGTTCTTTCAATAAAGTTTCCCAAGACTAGCCCTGCAAGAATGATGGGGATTGTTATACTTCCCCTCCCCCTCCCCCCCGCTTGAACTTTTTTTGTTGTTGTAATGTGTGTGTATGGTTATCCTTTCATGGATGACATGGAATTTGCACATGGGCCAGTGTCCTGACTTTTTCCCCCCTCTTTGCAAGCATGACACTATATCACTGAATTGCAGCTGCTGGTATTGTGGAGATGATAGGGAGTCAAGGAGGGGAGGGGAAGGAAACCTACAGTTCAGAAATAGCAAATGAAAAATTGAATATCTAATGAGGAAAGGGAAGCACATTGTAAATCATCGTAATAGGACACTTGATTTACTCATGGTGTGAGTGACTCTTTTTTTCACTCCAATTATTTGGAAGCTTTAAACCTGACAGACTTGTTTCCTGAATAGCTTAAGTCTCCCTGTCCTCTCCCCCTTTTATTACACTTGCAGGTAGTTTTGTTGCAGGATCCTTGAAAAAAAGAATGGGTCTCTAGATAGTGAATACTGTGGCTTGGGTGCTATGTCCATTATTTTGCACCTTTTGTGTATATGGGGTAGAATTGCTTGTGAGTGTTGGGTCCCAACCAGTGGGGAAAGTCCCAGCCAGCCAGATCATGCCTTTTAAACTGAATGAAGAACTTGGACAATTCCATATTTATAAGCCATCCTCTGAAAGCTGATCTAGAGAAGGTAGTGGCAGAAATGTTGGAGTTTCCGCTACACTGGTACTAGTTAAACAACAGTTTCTTTGAACTGGGAACTGCAAAAGAAAGAGATGGATGGCAGTGCAATTACTGAAGATTGATACTATTGTGTATTGTAGCAGATGTGTTTTTAAGACTGGCATTCTGCAAAACTTAACTGCTAACAGGTTAAAATCTAAGGAGAGCATCTACAAAAATGTATTTCATGCTGACCTGGGCTAGCAAAATCTATTTAAACTCTAAACAGAATTCATGTTGCCTACCATGCAAGAAACAACATGTTGGAAACCAATTGTACCGCTGTTTTGTTGTAAACAGAAATAAATTCTATATTTCTAATGAGTTTTGTGTGTTACCTTTGCTACTTCATGAAAGACTTGCATTCTGCTTTTACAGCTACTTTCTGAAATGAGTAAAAGTAAAAAGAATACCAGATGGGTCATGGAAGTTAATTTACTTTAAGGACACCTGCGTAGAGCATAAAACGATAGTGTTGGAGTGATGTTGTATCCATGATGATCTAGAAAATATGCAAGAATATTTGGGGAAATGTCTTTTTATTGGTCCAACTGCATAGTTGGAAGAGCTTTTTTAGATAAACTTTTGGGCACAAGGTACCCTTCCTTGAGGTCCTTTTATACTTTAGGAAGGAGCACAAGTGACATGCCATAATTTTGGAATCTAACATCTGCTAACGTGTGGGGTTTTTTGGTGGGGGGCAGGGGGAATCAAGGTCTAAACAGGTCTGCATCTGAGGTCTGCAAACAAAAGCCTTTTGGGTAAACTGCTTCTTTCAAGACCACCAGTCCTATTTTAAAAAAATATATAAGATAGGCTTCCATGTGATAACAAAGGGCCAAGGGCCCTTGGATGAATATTTGCTTGATATTTTAGAAATCGAA